CCCTGGCGCCTCCCTGCTGCAGGGGTCTCCGCGCCGCCTCCCCGCGCTCGGGCGCTCGCGGCTAAACCGGGCGGCTCTTAAGACCCACCGGCCGAGCTCCGCGCGCCGTGCAGAGGGCCCACCCAGCGCATCGCCAGCCGGGGTCCGCTTCTCCTCCGATTTCCGACGCTTCGGGGGCGTTTCCGTCCCTCCCCATTGGTTCCCCGGACAGCCAGGGGCCCCTCCCCCTGTGCCCTGGGCCAATCAGCAGCTGCCCAAGTGGCAGTCGCAGTCTGTGCCCCCTCCAGATTTCCATCCAGATCCCAAGTTGGCACTGCCACCTGTTGCCCGCGGAGTTACCAGGTGCCCAGTCGGGGCAGCTGCAAAGCCGGAAACGGGGGCTGTGCCTTGGCACTTCTCCCGGGGCAAAGGCCCCCCCCCCCCGCCTTGGAAAAGATCCCCAAAAATAGGGGCTGAGGTGGGGCTGCCAAAGAGCAAGAGACCAAAATTGGGGCTGGCATTTGGTAAAAATGGCTTTAAAATCCCAAACTCCTGTTAAAATAATCCTATTAAAAAAAAAAAACTTATCCAGAGACGGAATTGCACTTTATTGAAAGCAATTTCTCTCAATCTCAGAGGCATTAAGGCTGTGGACTTCAACTCCCAGAATTCCCCAGGCAGCAAGGGGAATTCTGGGAGTTGAACTCCACACGTCTTAAAGGCAATGAGATTGAGACACTGAAAAATAGGCGGCTTTTGTAAAGCCATATTTTGCCACCAATTTTCAAACCGTGTTGGCAGCAGGAGGGAAGGCAGGATTGAGGGGCATTTCTCTTGGGGGTTTAACATCTGTTTTTTCCCCTCTTTTTGTTGTTGTTGTTGTTGCTGCAAGTGTTGCTTGCTAAAACAGGAGCTGAAAGCAGGATGGAGCCTGACTGGAGATGGGGGGGTCAGAAAAGTCAAGATGGTGGCCATGCCCATGCCAAGTCCTGCCCCTTCTTGATGTGAATCAAAGAGGGGTGGGGTCCCCAGGGGGGTTGTGAATTTTTGGCCCCCCTGTGGATCTCCCTGGGGGGGCAGGCTGACTCGACACCCGCAGCAGCCGGAGGGCTGCAAATGAGAGATTTGGGGGGTGCTCAGCCACGGTTTTTCCCTCCCCAGGAGAGCAAGGCCATCTTCGTGGACCAGAGGAGATTTGCTCATCGGAGCCTTCCTGGCAGCAGGTGAACTGGCACGCCCGCGGGTTCTCCCAGAGCCAGGGGCAGCAGAGAACGCCCCACCCCAGGCGGGCGGCGGGCTCTTCGGGCCTCACAGAAGGCTCTCTCTGCTGCGGCCTCTTGTGCAGCCGGCAGGTTTGCAGACGCTCCTGCAGCCCCCAGCCTGCGGCTCCACCTGGGGGCACTTCAGTTAAGGCCCCACGTTCTGGGGTGCTCCGGGGGGCAGACGGGGGAAGTGCTTTTTGACAAAC